TATATATATATATATATATATATATATATATATATATATATATATATATAGTATGTAGGAGAGCATAATAAAACGTATACATATTTTGCATGTTACGTATAACATATTTTGTATATATTTTGTATATTACATATTTTGTATATATTTTGTATACTATGTTTAACATAATTTGTATATATGTTGTACATTACGCATAACATATTCTGCTTTCATCTGGTACAATTTGAGGTAAAATCAGTATAGAAATATGCTCGTGGTGTTGGTGCTGATATTTATGTACAATAAAGTCTAGAAAGACAGAAGAGATTATAGAGAAGAAAGAAGAAATGTGTGCAGTTTATGAATACGTTTCATTATGCTCTCATTTATTTTCCAGCTATTCGCACTATCACAGTTACATTTTCATACAGACTACTACTTTTACTGATGACCATATTACGTACAATATAAAAACAAGGTTATCTTTTACAAGACATAGTTCTATATGAACTAAATTTGATGACAATGAAGATTTTGTCTCATAACATAGAAGTATAATCTTATTTTGGAGACTTGTTCTGTTTGTAATGTGTCGAAATTTGGAGCAAGTATTGAACCTTAAAATTGAAAACATTGTGAATCAAATGTTTATTATAGTTCAGCCGGCAAGGTTTCATGTGAAATGTCACTTCGGCCCTTTTTTTTCCATGTCAGCTGTTTAATTTGAGAGGCTAGCATCTATGGCAAATTTATAATTAACCCGGGCATCACAACGCTGTCTTGGGAAAGTAAACATTAAAGTTGCCGACCATTACCGCATTATGGTAACGCCATGTCGAACAGTCATTTAACAAAATCTGACAAAATAAATAATTATCTTGGGGAAAAACTATGAACGGTTGACTACAAGTGGTCAGTTTAACTTAAGCTGTACACTTTGGAAGTAATTTTGAATTTAAGGTAACGATTTGAGGCGATTTTACTCAGTCTTAAATTTTCTTCAAGAGGAGCAAACTCGACTGATTCCGGGAAAAACTAAATAGTAGTTCTTTCCTCGTTAGGAAAAGTAAGAGGACCATGTGGCTGTCTTGTAAGCAAAGACAGACTTTTGTGCTAGGACGCAAAGTTTCTTGAAAAGAACTGCATTAAGGGAAACAGATATCTGGAACAGTCTTGGACAGTCCGAAAGGCGGAAGTCCGGATAAGAGATGAAGAGAGTGATCAAGAAAGATCAAACGTGTGGGTGGGAAGACGTGGGATACACGGAGACCAAGACAGGAAGCGACGCTAGGTGATGTTTATCAGGCGTGGACATTGTGCTCGTTTCACTACTCTCGATATCACGATGAAATGTTTCAATAATAGAATACTGCTACTTAAATTCCGCAAACGTAAATTTGTTTGAATTGCAGATGGCACTATTATTTTATGTTGTTTATTAAATTGTTATGCTCTTGTCTAAAGGGTTCTCGTATTGTATTATTTCTTCTCGATAGTTTTGCTCGGTTCTCTGTTGACATTCCATCTATCCACTCACACCGGGCAATGATATCGAAGGAGGTCATCCTCTAGATAACAACAGCCAAATCTACTTAACCACCCCTCTTTATTAAAGGGGAACGTCATTACACTGTTGTATTGCCATATTTATATAAAGTTCACATAAAATGAAAGATTCACATGAAAATTTTGGCAAATCCAAAATAAGGCTAACTCAAAATCAGGTCAATTCCGAAATTGATTAAATGTGAATCAGGGCTAATGCCAAATTTATATAATTAAAAATTTTGGACAAATCAGAAATTTGGCATTTTAATAAAATAACAATTTTAGATATTGTTTGTTTGTTTTTTGTCTGAATGCAATTAGCCATGGTTGCTAAAAATTTCAAAAATTTGAAACCAATTTAATCTGAAAGGAGACAGACGATTCTGACTTCAAGGATGTCTGTCTCACATCGGCAACGACAGAAGCCGTAGTTTATGTTCCCTTGGAGAACCTAGGATATTAACACAAACATAAACAAACGGGAACGCTCCCCGACATCAGGTCACAATTAATAGTTTCGGTTCAGTACCCACAAATGTAGTTCCAGTCTAGTTTTAAGGATTTTTCCTGTCTCCGTTTGGTGGTGATACAAGAGTTAGATTTGGTATGGTTTTTTAAGCAATTGTTTATTCTTTAGAATATGAACTTATCGTATGCTTGTCTGTTTGCGTTTTGGTGACAATGTAAAGTGAGTAATAAGGTCTTGGTGATGATCTGGAATTTAAATTTATGTTCCATTGCACATTGGTTCTTTGACACTCAAGCCTTTCCAAACAAATACAGGCCAACCTTTGACTAGAACTTCACCGTGAAGTCATCTTTGAAGGTATTTTAGATTGACATATGATTTGTAGTGATTGTCACATAATGGAAAATTCAGTACTGAGAAACAAATGTAGAGAATATATAGTAAAATTAATTGTGCTATATGGCCTGTCAATTCTGTTATTTGAATAAAATTTAAAGTGATATAAAATCTTATTATTAATGATAGACTCGTGAAATTTTAATGTTATCAATGTTAACTTTGAAAATATAAGAATAAAAATTTTAAACCAAATAATTTTTATTTTAAACATTTAAATGAAATGTTTGAAAAAGTAAATTTTCCCCCAAAATGCACATATATAAAATTCATTGGAATTACATCAACATGTATATACCCATACACCATATCCAAGCTCCAATGATGGACATTTGTCAAATTTTATCAGAAAAAATATCTTTGTAAGTCAAAATGAGACCTTCATTTAAAATACATGAACACAAACTTCTTTGTATTTTGCCTTTGTCATTCAGTCTAAATATTAGGGGTCCAAACATTTAATTTATGTGGAAATAATGAAGTGACTTCTTGAGTAACACATATCTTCTTGTATAGCTATCAGTAATTGTTTATGAACATAATTTTATTGTATTTAGTGAGAGGATAGAGATGAAAACTTTATATTAAAACCTGCTCAAGTTCTCTACAAAATCGTTTTAAGCTGTAAGAGAATGAAATACAGGTTAAAGTGATAAAATATACTTTCCCCAGGTATATTTACCTTTGCATATAAGAAAACAGCAAAATGGTGTAATTTGAACAAAGAAATGAATTCCTTTTAATTATTCAATTTCTCTAAGATATTGATTAATGTAGAGCTCATTGTGACCTAGATAATATTATGGGAATTCTAATGATCCATTGTGCTTTATACATTATTAATTACTAATATTTGCTAACTTTGAACAACTGATCTTAACATAGTAATACATCAGACATGAATAAATATGCATATATTTTAGAATGTTTGGGATCAAACGTTGACATTCAGTACATCATATAAGCTGACAAAGTACCTATAGTGAATCTCTAAAGCTCAGTTCTGATTGCGTGCACTTAAAATATAACAAGATATTATCATCATCATGAATATGCATTTGTATGGTAACATATATCAATTTAGTACTTTGACATTTGACTTTGAGTGCGGCATTGTAGCATCAGCTGATATCGGATTCCACTGAATCATTGAGCCTAATAAGTGATAACCTACACTCTTAAAAATGTTCAAACAGATCATTTAAATTATGTTTGCACATGTTTGCACATGTGATATTAACAAGTGCATTGTATACGTCCAACACATGTAAATGTCTATCCTTGTTTACAAGTTTTGGGGATCAGAACTTTACATTTGGTTGATGATATAGGATCTATTTGTACCTATAGTTGATCTGTGTAGCCAAATTTGACTATTCTCTCGCAATATTTGAAATTGTTATTTTCCCCATGATAAAGATTGCTTATAGTTATATATTTTAATGTGGCACATTATCATTTGACTTTCCTGTATACTTGTATGTACTAATGTTTGCACCAATGATCAAACCTCACCTTAAACTTTATGATACTACTCTGGCTGATTAGTTATTCAACCTGTAAATGGCGAAATATGATTGTAGAAACCTAATCTATTTTTAGGATGGATTTTTATCACTTTAATACATGCCCATTGATTCACATTTCTGAGTGTCACTCTGTCAAGTTTGCTATTTCTGCCAATGTTTGCAACCTGAATTTTGGTTTGAAATCACCATATCTAACACATTTGAACTTCATTTGCCTACTTCTTGCTGTTTTCGAGAATTGAGTAAAACATGTTATTCTTTTCCGGTCTTACCTGATATCTGGAACAAAGTATTAGAGTTGGATCAGTTTGGAAGCTCTCCAATAGTTCGGTAGTGATAGCAAGGTCTCATAAGGACATATGCAGTGTAACGCTATAAGTGACCAAGATGAGTTGATATCAGTACACTGATATACAGCGTCTCAAAGACATGGCTTAGATCTTCAAGAGATAGATTGTTCAGTAAGGAAGAACTTCCCTGAAACAATATTTTCCTATCACACTGTCACCTTTTGTAGTTATCGACATTGAAATGGATTGCGTATTTGCTATTAAACATGACAGTGGTCCCATCAGTACATTAAACCTGAATACGCTATTAGTTATACAAGCAACAGCCTATTTACCTGACACAATAATTGTGGAACATAGCACCTGTCATTGTTTCTTTAGTATGTACACCTATATGCATCTGGATAGGCATGTTGCAATTTGCAACCAAAATCAGTGAGCTATCATGATATAGTACCCATGGGTAAAATGTAATCAGTTGTACAGATTAAACTACCACTTGTTTAAATATTATTCATTTGTCAAATTTGCTGCCTTAAATTTGTCAAATTGGATTTTATAACTTGTATGAAAATTTATTTTTTAAATAAAATTTAGATTTAAAAAATTAAATGTTCTTTTAAATTTCCAATGAAATTTAATGTATCAATATTAATAAATTTTAAATATATTGTCAGACAGGCCTTATCATGTATTACAATTAGGGCTTTACTGCATTTAAAGATTCCTACATGTATTATTAAGGAAGACAGCAAATTTAGTTTTGGTTTCTCAAGAACACTTGGGACCTCTCCGGTGGCTTAATGGTTAGAGCATCCGCCTCGAATGCGGGAGGACGTCTGTTCGATCCCCGGTTGATTCATATCAAAGACTTACAAAAATGGTACTAACAGCTTCCGCGCTTAGCGCTCAGTATTAAGAGGTTTGTGTTAGGACAGGTCGACCTGGAGTTAGGATAACGTGACTGGGTGGGATTTCATGTTACATGTCTGCAGCATGATGCCCCAGTGCTAGACATCACTATAAACTGCCACACTGCAGACATCGTAGCGATATGACTGGAAAAATTATTAAACGCTTCGTTAAAATTTATAATCACATCACATAATCACATCAAGAAAACTTTGACCACAACTTCCATCCTGTGGAACACCAGCACTACAAACCTTCTGACAGATGTCACAAGTCTCGTTTGCAACGAGACTCCAAGTATAAAGTTAAAATAAGAGTGACATGCAAATATATAAACGTTTCACTAAACCTGGCCATACAAATTGTGTCTGACAGGCATCAGGTCAGGTTCAGTACGCACCAATGTAGTCCCAGTCTGTTTTTAGAGGATCTTTTTCTGTCTCCTTTTGGTGGTAGTACAAAAGTTGGATTTAGGCATTTTTGGTATAGATTTAAAAGCAATTGTTTATTCTTTAGAATATGAGCTAATGATGTGCTTGTCTGTGTTTTTTGGCGACAGCATAAAGTGAGTAAAAAGGTCTTGTTGATGATCAGGAAGTGAAATATATGTTCCTTTGCACGTTGGTTTGTAGACAGTCAAGCCTTTCAAAAAATGCCGGTGAACCTTTCACAAGAACTTCTCCCTGAAGTCAGCTTTGATGGCATTTTAGATTAACATAATTTGTATTGATTATCAGACAGTGGAAAGTTCAGAACTGAGAAACAAATGTAGAAAATATATAGTAAAATTAACTGTGTTCTATGGCCACATTGCGCTTATCAACATACTTGCAAAAATGACGCCATTGCAAATTTTGTAGTGCAGGTTTCGGGAATCAGTATTTAACTTAAATACACTTGAAACAAATGAGGCAACATAAAATGTCGTCATTTGGTCAAAAATAATTATCTGACAGTTACAAATGTGTGTGTATGCGTGTGTGTGTGTGTGTGTGATTTGGAGTTTTAACATAGTCTAATCAATTATGTTGTCATATCTCTACGATATCTGCAGTATAGCCGTTTATAGATAAATCTAGCACTGGAGCATCAATGTATCATAATGGCCCACCCAGTCTACATTATCCTAACCAGTCCTAACACTAACCTCTTAATGCTGATCGCCTAGCATGGCCGAACAATTTAATAATAATGTTAATAATAATGTTAATAATAATAATAATAATAATAATAATAATAATAATAATAATAATAATAATAATAATAATAATAATAATAATGTAGTACCCCATTAGGCAATTTTGCATTTTATTTGGATCTTTATACATCCATATATCTTTGCGAGTTCATTGTATACAAACCCTGAGAGTACATACAGAAAAATCAATGCTAACCTATGTATACATTTTCGGATAAGATCAGTTTAAAGGTGTGATCCAGTAAATCCGGATCGAATGTCGTCCGCTGTGATATCACAATGAAAGCTTCGAATGTAAATGAACAAATTCGTACTACCCTATGTTGTGACGATTAGACTCGATGTGCTCTTTTCTTGAACCAGTTTAGTACCTGTCCAACTTTATAAAATTCCAAAACGTACGTCATCAATTTACTTGATGACAGTTAATGCGCGCATCATTCTATAATCAGATTGCATTGACTTCGCTTACACAAAATTAGCAATAAATTTTAAAACAACAATTTTTAAATTTAAGATTGACTAAATTTGCATGCGTGGCTTGTAAGTTTTTATCATTGTTGTCACAAACTGACTTAAAATTATTCAAGTGTTTTGTTTATGCAGTAAATAAGATTACATTTTCAATTCACAAAAAGACCAGAAAATGTAATGTCTAAAGTCTAGTGTTGTAAAAACGCATTATCCGAAGATGATCGTAAAATACAACAAGCGATACGATAGTGATAGCATATAAAACTTTGGCAGTCACATGTTCGATTAATTTGGACAGGAGTTAATATATTAATATTACTAAAACCAGGAAGTAAATACAAACTGCACATTCTGACAATGAATGGAAGTTATCTTAATGTGAGTTTGTTTTTGGTGTTTAAGTTAGACCGAGCATTAGAACACCGGTAAGATCCACAGGCTCGAAGGAAGCGAATGGCATGGTTTCTTATATACCCACATTAGCAGAGCCGAACGTTCATGTGCGATATGATATGTTCATTTGTTTTTTCTTTTGTTCTCATTCGTGTTTAAATTCATATATTTCACAATTCTCTTTATGTTTTTGTACATTGATTAGTGCTTAATCATTCGATGGTTCTTTCTTTCTTTTATTTATGTATTTATTTATTTATTTATTTATTTATTTATTTATTTATTTATTCTAACGTCACTCTTTTACTTTTATTCATCTTCCACTGCTTGCTCGTCAATTTTATCGTGCATTCCCTTTAATTATACACATCTTACAGTATAACTGTCAGTCCTTAAGAAAAGTTTGCTGCCTAGCTAATAAATGGCATATATCTATACATTTGGTGACTAGCACGCATAATAATTGGGCTTTAAACTGCCTCAAAGTTCGTTAGGCGACGATTCACTAAATTAGCATCTGTGCTTTACTCAGTGCACGACGTTCCTGTCAGCCGAGGTAGCATAATCGAAAGGAAATTTTGAGTTTCGTCAACGATGGTAGAGTTCTAATAATTATTTATTCATAACTAATCAGATGTAAAATGCGATACTGGCGTTAAATGGAGAGAGGATTTCTTGCAAAGGTGTGTTAGGTAAACCTTAAAACCTAATTAATGACTGTTGTATGCTCTACAGAAGTCGAGTTTATTTGCCTTAGACTTCTTATTTACCCTTGGGAGTGGTTATGGTGAAGGCTACGATGGTGAGATTGAGGTCAGTTCAACGACAGGGAAGTAAATGTACCAAGCACTGTTATTTCAATATGGCCGACCAGGCTTGAATATTAATCACCTATCAAGGTCTGTTGCTAATTCAGATTTATCTAAAGAGCCGAATATACCAGATAAATACCATGAATCAAGGAATTCAGTGAGACTATACCATTCAAATCTGTCCTGATTCTATACTTTGGTCTCAAGAAAATTAAGTTCATACTGTTACAAGCCAGTGGTATAGCTTGACCGAGCTTTGTCTAACCTTGGCGCGAATCCCGCTAAAAGTCATTAGTCTACCCCAAATTTATAAAGACTTCTATACAACTTCATTTGTAAATTAGAAAGCCTGACGTGTCCATTCTATACATAAATTTTACTTAAATCAACTTGCCATCTATATATCAATCGCACATCTGCATAGAGTTACGTGACAAGGGATCGTGCTCTGTAACAAAGAAAAAAGTGAGGCCAACAGGCTTTGTATATTTTAACAAAACAATTTATTTCCCTAGACAACAATTTAGGAATTGGTAAATAGGGTTTACATTTTGTGAATATAATCCAAATGTGATTCTAAGAATAAAAAACACTAGTCCTATCACTAAAGAGTCCTATAAGAATCCAAGTTCGAGTCCCGACAACATACAAATATGGAGAGCAATGACGTCAGATGCAGTCCAATCTATGAATAATAATAATTCCTCACTTGAATCACAGTCATTGTTTCCGAATAATTCCAGAAAAAAACTCCATGAATATCTTTTAGAATTATTTTATAATAAAGTCAACTTGGTGAGTGTCCAGGAGAATAAATTATTGAATCCGAAAATCAGACGAAGAATAAAATATTCTGGCAACAAATTTTAAAACAACACCTTGTTCCTTCAAGGTTTTGAATGACTCTGTCCAAAACAATATTAGAGTGCGTATTTAATTTCATGAAACGTCATTTCAAGTATCGCGACATTGGTCATGTGGAATCCTACTACACTAGTATTGCAACGTCGTGTAGCATAGACCCACTTAAAAACCAATCACAAAAAGGTTGTTTACAAACTGAGATCACGCACTGAAAGTGTGACCGTGATGCTGACCAATCATTTTAACTTCCTATTGATTTTGTTGCCAAGGTAAGACGAACTCAATGTCAATTCTCACGTATTACTATTTCGTCTTTAGTAAACAACTTTGTGATAAAAATATCTCTCACTACTAAAATTAGAATCCCGAACCCGAGAAAAATATTCATTGCAATTAAGTACAATGAAACATAAATAAAAAAAAGAATTTAAACCTTGCACACAAGCAATTTAATCACATATATATAACAATAGTTTCTCTTCTACTTTCCGTACCGTCATCAGTTTACGCCGTAGAAACTATACAAATATCCACAAACTAAGGGAATCATTTTAATTACGCCACCTTAGGCTAGACATTCCATGGTCTCAAGGCACAACTGGATCACATTTGCCGCCATGGTGACATAAACGGTATCTGCCGAGTCACTTCTTGGTTATTCCATTGTGTAATTTATCCGTTTCCCACCGTAAATACTGCCACTGCAGTCACAACACCAATGTACACCACTAGATTTTTTTTAGGGACTATATTATTACAGGGAGAGGCATACAGTTTGGGTCAGAATTCACTACTAATTGACCATAGCATTGTGGAAACTCACTAACACTTATCTTCTTGACGTTTGCTCCTAGAAATTGGCTAATTATTTCGGGCTAAGGAATAGTTCCTTTGCACCGAATTCCTGCAATCAAATAAGCAATCACACAAATCGAAGACTTGCTTAAACGGGGAGCTAATGTTCATGCTCCAAAACGTATTCAAGCAGCTACTCTTCCTTTATGCTAATATGCTCGAATACGATTGAACCAGATTACAAATTAAACAATGACAACGATTTTCGAACTCGGGTTCAGAGCTTGTAGCCTCCTTAGGAAGAAGGCCAAACGTCAGGAAAGTGTAGAAGACATCAAACGAATTTCCCGAAAGTTTCTTGATCTATTTTGTTTGCAATATGCTTCAACGGATGTATTAATTTGCGTTTTG